TCCCCACCAAACTGGGGAGGAATGCCACACAGAAGCTGGGGCACAACTGATGTTTATGGAGGAAGGTCGACAGGTTCTGGGACAGCCCTATTGTTTGCTGGGGGAGCCCCAATGTCTGGCACAGTGTACGTGCTGAATACATACCTGTTGGTTGACATCAGAGACAAGAGCCCCTGCCCCCACCCTTCCCGCGCAGATTGGGGGATGGGAGTGAGGCTGGGACCATCCTTTTTCCTTGGGCCCCAGAGTCTCCCTTTCTCCTCTCCCCAGACAACCTCTATACCTGCAGGGGTGTTCTGGCTCTCTTCACAGCAGCCCACACTTTCTAAAGAACCCTGGAAATCTCCTAGGGCCCATGGCAAGCTGCTCTGTGGCCTCCAAACCTATAATTTGGTTTTCAAACCCACAAGCAGGGAGGTCTGTGGGGGCCAGAGGGAGCCAATTTGGTGCTGCCCCATCCTGAGTGAACATGGGTATACACACACACACACACACACACCATTAACTCACACACTCTTAACAGCTCTAATGGGGTATAATTTATATACCATAACTTCACCCATTTAAAGTACACAATCCAATGTTTTTTAGTATATTTTACAGAATTGTGTAATCATCCCCATAATCTAATTTTAGAACATTTTCATCACCCACAAAAGAACTCTTGAATCATTAGCCCTCACTCCCCATTCCTCCACCGGCTATTCCCCAGCACTAAGTAACCACTAATCTACTCTCTGTCTCTATAGATTTGCTTATTACAGACATTTCATATAAATGGAATCATATAACATGTTACATTTTTAAAATTGGACTCTTGCACTCAGCATAATATTTTCCAGATTCATCCGTGTTTTAGCAGGTATCAGCACTTCATCCCTCTTTATGGCCTAATAATATGCCATTTGAATAGTCCACTGGCTGTTGACCCATTTATCAGTTGGCTGACATCAGTTGATTGACATTTGAGTGCTTTCTTCTTTGGGGCTATTATGAATAATGCTGCTAGGAACTTTCGTCTACTAGGTTTTTTGTTTATTTATTTTATTTTGTTTTGATAATGCTGGGGGGGTTGAACCCAGGGCCTATAGCATGTGAGGCCAAGTGATCTGCCACTGAACTATACCCCCAGCTCATCTACTGGTTCTTGTGTGGATATTTGTTCTCTTCTCTTGGATGTATACCTAAGAAACAGAAGTGCTGGGTCATATGGTTACTACAATTGCCAAACCATTTTCTAAAGTGACTGTTCCATCTCCGCACTCCACAGCCTCATCGATACTTGCTATTTGTCCTCCCCCCTCCCTTTTTTTGCACTACTGGGATGGGATTGAACCCAGGACTCAAGAATGCCAGTATGGGGTTCAACTGAGCTACATCCCCAGCTCTTTTTACTTATTCTTTTTTAATTTTTAAAAAATTCAGACAGGGTCTCACTAAATTGCCGAGGCTGGCCTTAAACTTGTGATCCTTGGCCTCCCTGAGTAGCTGGGATTATAGGTGTGCATCACCACATCACAACTGTCTTTTTTTATCATAGTCATTTTAGTGGATGAAGTGGCATCTTATTGTGATTTTGATCTGCAGTTCTCTTACAACTAAGTGATGTTGAGCCTCTTCTCATGTGTTTATGGCCATCTCTATGTCTTATGCTGCCCAGGCTGGCCTTGAACTCCTGGGCTCCAGCAATCCTCCTGCCTCAACCTCGCAAGTATCTGGAACCACAGGCTCACATTACCACATGAGTTCTTTGAAGAAATGTTTTTTAATCATTTGCCCCCTTTTTTTTTTCAGCTGGGTCATTTGTCTTTTTTAAAATATCTATTGTTTTAGTTGTAGATGGACATAATATCTTTATTTTATTTATTTATGTGGTGCTGAGGATCGAACCCAGTGCCTCACACATGCTAGCAAATGCTCTACCACTGAGCCCCAGCCCCAACCCCGGGTCATTTGTCTTTATTATTGAGTTGTAATCTTTTGAAATCCCAAGAAGTATTATACATGTAACTCTATAATCCCTTTCAGGAGTGATAGTGCCCTTTGAGATTTTCAGGAGATCAAAGTCACAATCCCTTTTGGATAGAAGTTCCTGATCAGATATCTAATTTGCAAACATTTTCTCTCATTCTGTGGTTGGCTTCTACTTTTTTGAAGGTATCCTTTAAGGTATAAATGTTTTTTATTTTTTTATGCCCAATTTATCTTCCATTTTATTGCTTGCGCTCATACACTGACGCTTACATGTTCCAGTTCCCAAGCTGCTATTTTCCTAAGAAGGGCAGAGGGTGTTATTGTTCCCAGGAACTCTCCCTTCGCGTCTACCTTAGGGCATTCTCCTCCACAGTGACACAGATACATGGATGGAGTGTGCCTGGTGTCCAGGGAGGGGGAACATAGACCAGGTAGAGGGGAGGGTAAACTTAACCCATGCTGCATCTTTCCAAGAACAGGGCTCTGAGGAAGCAGCCAAAGCATAAGAGATTCCACATCATAGAAACATCTGTGCGTCCTTGGACTGGCTACTTTATCCTTGTGACCTCACCTAAGAAACGAAGGGATCAGCTTAGACAATTCAGAGCAAGGGTCCTTAACATGGGTTCCACAGTGTTAGGCAGGCTGCATTTTTTGGGATAGGACTCCAGGGCCTTCATCAGATTTTCCAAAGGATACACTAAACAAGAAATGTTCAGAATAACTAGTCAGTCAGGGCCTTGCAGACCCCCCCAAAACATCCAGATTCTGTGGTCACGTTTCCTTCTGTCCCTCAGGGTACATACAGCCTCAGAGTTGCTTCCCTAACGCTGAGGAACCAGGAGGTATAGGTTGCCACAGGGCCCATGGGGATGTCAGAACTTAGCCCAGAGAGCAACCCCTAGCTTGTCCCCTCAAGACCAGGAGAGGAGCACTCCGGGGGACTGCCTTGGTCACCCCTGAAGCCACTTTCCAGGCAGACGTTGGGCAAGAGGGAAAGAATGCCAACACTTGGTGGAAGCTCCCCTCTCAGAGAGGCCCCACATGGCTCGCTCAGGCTGCAGGAAATCGAGGGCAGGAAGAGGGGCTGGGGCCTGAGGGGCCCCCTTGCTCCCATCTGCAGAGCATCAGTGGGGCAGGCGGGTGGGGATTCACAGGGGGGCCTGGGGAGGAAATGAGAATAAACACAAGTGAGCAGAGAGGGAAGGGGCGGGAGGGGGGGCTGCGGCCTCAGCCCCTTGGCAGCCCATGAAGGGAAGTGACACAATGAGGAATGTGTTTCCCTCGGCCGTCCCGCATGGGGGTGGGAGGCAGAGCCCTGAGAATCGCCAGACCCCAACAGGGGCCAAGGGGCACGTGTTGGAACAACACCGGAGGGGTGGGTTGTGAGGGTGGGGGCCTGGGCAGTAAAACAGTGGGGGGTGGACAGGCAGTAAGGGTAACACTGCGCCAGGCCAGCGGGGTGCTTACACTGCCTGTGTCACTTCCACTCCGCCCCTGCTCCGCATGCAGTGTCTGATAGGGCCTGTCCCTTGCACATTCCTCATGGGTGCCCAGCACTGTGGGCACCTTCCCGGAGCTCCAGCTTCCTCTAGGAAGCTGGTCCCTTCCTGTGGCTTTCTCTTTTTTTCTTAAGGGGACTCAGGATTATGGAGGAGGCTGAGTCCTTCATGTGAGAGGGAACTGTGATATGAGGTGCCCTGGCCATGTTCCTCTCCCCCCACCACTGGAACTGTGCACAAACAAGCCCCCTAATGGGACAGCACCTCCCTTCCCTGGACACCCATTTCCTCTTGCCCAGCAGGGAACTGGCTCAGTTAACTCCCTCCTGTCCATAATCCAGACAGGTTCTGAGGCTTTGGCAGGCAGAACCAAGACCACCTCCACCCTCCGCCTGTGTCTGGGCTGGAGGGCTGCAGGGCCTTGGATGGCAGGTTGACCTGAGCTCTCTCTTGTAATCTGTGTGTTTCTGTGCCCTTATGACATTGTGGTTGGTCCAGGAGTCACCCACTCACTTTCTGCCTCCTAATCTTCTGGGCACTGGGGTGAGGGCAGAGAGGATGTTGGAACATGGGCAGTGAGTGATCAGGAAGGCTCTGAAAGTGCTCTGTGGGCCTCAACCTGGTTTGAGTTGGGCAGGAAAGACCTGGTTGGCCCTTGTGTTGGTTGGTGATGACCACTGGCCCTTTAGGCATCTCTCTTCCTGGCCATGCCCAGCGTGGAGAACTGGGTCAGGAAGAAAGCCTGTGAGTCAGCATTCAACTTAGTCCTCACTGGTCCCCCCAAGAGCCCAGAGGCCCACCAGGGCAGAAAACATTTGCTTATCCACCAGCTACCCTCCCCTGTCCCTTGGAGCAATCTATCTGCAAGGATACAATAATTATAAAATACCTCGTGATGGCCAGGCTCAAGAAGATTGTACATTTGTGTAGCAATTTTCAAAAGACTCTTAACACCTATGTTCAAAGACTTCCCAAAGCAGCGAGGTCCTCAGGGCAGCTCAGAAATGGAGCGTGTAAGAAGCTGAGGCCTCCTGACTCCCAAGGCAGTGTTCTCTTTACCCTTTGCTTCTACCCAGTTCCTCCTCTGTGGCCCTTCTGAGTCCCTTCCCACCCTGTCTCTTGGCTCCTGAATTGGTTCTAACTTTGTCCCCCAACCCCACTGCCTATAATGGGGGTTGAACCCAGGGCCACCTGCTTGCTAGGCAAATGCTCTACCGCTGAGCAACACTCCTGGCCCTTTTCATTCCTTATTTAGAGTCAAGATCTCACTACATTGCTGAGGCTGGCCTCAAACTTGCAGTCCTCCTGCCTCAGTCTCCTGAGTAGCTGGCAATGTTTTTCTGACCAGTACTTCATGATGGCAACCAAGAAGGTTGAGGAGACCTGTCTGGATCATTAATCCAACTTCCCAATCAGTGATGAGGAGAAGAGATTTAGAAGGAAATCAAGTCCCAAAAGAAAGCCAGTATAAGGTGGTGTCCCAGAGGGGTTGAGGTGTGAGGGCTTTCCCACTGTCTCCCACAGGGACCTAAGGAACAATGTCATCAGCACTGTGCAGCCTGGAGCCTTCCTGGGCCTGGGGGAGCTGAAGCGTTTGTAAGTGGCATGTTTTCCCCCCACCCCCCACACACACCTCCCACCGCTCCCCCTTCCCCAGATCCAATGAGCAACCACCCCTCCTACCCACCCCAAACTCCCCCTTCTCTACACCCCAAGCCCCCATTCAGCTGGTATTTCAAGCCAGCTGTGGCACTGGGCCCCATCCCACTCCCCACGCTAGTCCCCCCAGCTGCTCACATGCACAAGCCATCCCATGTGCTGCCACATAACTGACTTCTTAGTATGTGTCTCCCTAGAGATCTTTCCAACAACCGGATTGGCTGTCTCACCTCTGAGACCTTCCAAGGCCTTCCCAAGCTTCTCCGACTGTGAGTAAGGGGTGAAGGGTGTGAGATGGGAGCTGGATGGAAGGTTGGGGAGGAAGAAGGCAATGCTAGACCCTTACAGGTCCCTACATTCTCTTCTCTCATCCCTCCCCTCCTCTGGCCCAGGGAGACCCTAAGATCCCGTCTCACTGTTCCCTGCCCCCTGCAGAAACATATCTGGAAACATATTCTCCAGTCTGCAACCTGGGGTCTTTGATGAGCTGCCAGCCCTTAAGATTGTGTGAGTACCTTTCCTAGCCCAGGACCAGACCCCTGCTCCCTTCCTCTGCTCAGGAGGGAGTCACATAAACATCGTGACCACTGTGGACAGCCTGATGAGTAGGCAGACAGCAGTGCCTGGAACCCTACCAGAATCAGCATGCCTTTGGTAATGGTGATGGCACACACATACCCAAGTTTGCCCTCTCCGGCCTTGGTCCCGTCCCCACGCCATGAGTCCACATTCCTTCTACTCAACTCCGTGACTCCTCTATCCACTCTGCAGAGACTTTGGCACAGAGTTCCTGACCTGTGACTGCCACCTCCGCTGGCTGCTGCCCTGGGCCCGCAATCACTCCCTGCAGCTGTCCGACCACACACTCTGTGCCTATCCCAGCGCCTTGCATGCCCAGACCCTGGGCAGCCTCCAAGAGGCTCAGCTCCTCTGCGGTGAGCAAGCCCTCAGTCTGCATACCTACAGGGACCCTGTCTGTCCTCACATCCCAGACACAAGCCCTGTCCCTCACATATGGCCCTGATGGCTTGAGGCTTTCTTGGCTCTTTGTATGTCTGTGTGATGATGTCTGGGTCTTTCTCTCTCCCTCAGCCCCCCAGGGAGCTACCCTCCATTTGCTTTTCTAAATGTCCTTTAGGGCTGTTTGCTTATTCCTGTTTTTGTCTGGTCCCAACCTCTTGGATAACATGCCTACTGGGAGCCCTTTTCTTTGCCCAAAACCTGCCTCTCTTCTCACTTGCTCTAGACTTTCTCTTGACCCCTTTTCTTCCTAGCCCAGCACTGCCCTAGTGGATTCTCACATGCACATGCAGATTCACATGTGTGCATTCCAGCCTAGCTACCTGGTATCTCCTCCACAGAGGGGGCCCTGGAGCTGCACACACACCACCTCATCCCATCCCTGCGCCAAGTGGTGTTCCAGGGTGACCGGCTGCCCTTCCAGTGTTCTGCCAGCTACTTGGGCAACGACACCCACATTCGCTGGTACCACAACCGGGCCCCTGTGGAGGGTGATGAGCAGGCAGGCATCCTCCTGGCTGAAAGCCTCATTCATGACTGCACCTTCATCACCAGGTACAGGCCTTGCTGCCCCTTCTCAGCCCTCGGCACAGGGTGACAATAGGCATAGTACCCACCATCTGTCCCCCAAAGGACCTATGCCCAGTCACATTCCCATGTGTGTGCATGTGTTTATGGAGAGCTAAGGGTCAGACATAAATAGTCTGCATAGAAGCTAGAAATTTAATGCCTAGCCAGGCGTGGTGGTGCATGCCTGTCATCCCAGCAGCTTGGGAGGCTGAGGCAGGAGGATCGTGAGTTCAAAACCAGCCTCAGCAAAAACGAGGTGCTAAGCAACTCAGTGAGACACTGACTCTAAATAAAATACAAAATAGGGCTGTGGCTGTGGCTCAGTGGTCGAGTGCCCCTAAGTTCAATCCCTGGTACTCCCTGCCCCCCCCCCAAAAAAAAAAAAAAGAAATTTAATGCCTAATAGAAAAAAAAAAGTGACATTTGACCCTTTTTTTTGGAGGGGGGGGGGTTGCTGGTATTAGAACCCAGGGCCTTGTGTGTGCTATGCATATGCTCTACTAGTGAGCCACACCCCCAGCCATTTGACACTTCTTTAGTGATTAACAATGTCTGTGGTGGCTCTCATTTGTATTATCAGGTGTAATCTTTGTGTTAGATCTGTAAGAGTTATGATTATCTCCATAGTAAAGATAGGGGAACTGAAACTCAGAAAAACAGTACCGTAAGGCCAATCGAAATCAGAAGAGCATGCACTGCTATCTCTCACTTTATTAAGGAATAAAGAACCTAAAGCTGGTGAACTGGCCAGGGTCATGGGGGGAAGGTGGCGGGCTGGGCTTGAGAGTGCCTCACTGAGCCAGCTCCTGCCTTCTGCCCACCTGCAGCGAGCTGACCCTGTCTCACATCGGCGTGTGGGCCTCAGGCGAGTGGGAATGCTCTGTGTCCACGGTCCAGGGCAACACCAGCAAGAAGGTGGAGATTGTGGTGCTGGAGTCCTCTGCCTCCTACTGCCCTGCTGAGCGTGTTGCCAACAACCGTGGGGACTTCAGGTTCGTGCTGCTCCACTCTGCAGAGGACTGCCAGGAGAGATCCAGCCACATTTCCACCACATGCTGCCCCAGTCCCCATCCCTGCTTTCACACCTGAGAGTGGCCAAGGGCTCCCCACTGTTCTCTTTGGAGAGTCCCAAAGACTCCCTTCTTGTCATTCAGGCTGAAGTCCTGCTGTTGGATCTTGAGAAACATTATCTTTATAGATTCAATCACCAGTTGCAATGTCTTGCACAAAATACAACGGGAGCCAGGTGCAATAGCTCATGCCTATAATCCCAGGGGCTCAAGAGACTGAGGCAGAAGGATCATGAGTTCAAAGACAGCTTCAGCAAAAGTGAGGCACTACGTAACTCAGTGAGACCCTGTCTCTAAATAAAATACAAAATAGGGTTGGGGATGTGGTCAAGTACCCCTAAGTTCAATCCCTGATACACCCCCGCCAAAAAACCCCAGAAAACAAAAAGACACAATGAGCTTTCCTCCCTCCCCTCTCCCTCGTTTCCTTCTTTCCCTGGGGCACTTTATCACCAACCACATTCCCAGTTCTTTTAATTAATTTATTTATTTATATATTGAGAAGTGTTCTCGATAAATTGTGAGGCCAACCTCAAACTTGTGATATGTGGCATCCCAAGTTGCTTGGATTACAGGTATGTGCCACCATGCCTAACCACACAATGGCTTTCCCCCCCCTATTTTGTTTATTTATCTTTATGTGATGCTGAGATTTGAACCCAATGTCTCACATGCACTAGGCAAGTGTTCTACCACTGAGTCACAAACCCAGCCCCCACAATGGCTTTTAAAATTGCTCCCTTAGAGGCTGGGGATATAGCTCAGTGGTAGGGCACTTACCTAACATGTGCAAGGCCCTGGATTTGATCTCTAGCATCATAAAAAAAAATTGTTCCTCGTATTAATAGTTTGCAAAGGTTTCCCACAAACTGTATCACATCTTAATATCCCAACAGCCCTCTCTATAAAGCAGGGCAGGTATTATTCTCCCCTTGTATAGCTGAGAGTACTAAGGCTCAGAAAGGGTAAGTGGCTTGCCTAAGGCCATAGCTAATAACAGGCGGAACTTGAACTTGAACTCAGAGTTGCATTCCTCATCCCTTGTGAAAGTTCTAGAAAGTAGAACTTGGGAACACCTTGAAGACCACTGAACATCCTCTCCTAGGTCCTTCCCAAAGGCCCCAGAGGTCTGGCATCACAGTTCTAAGGGCAGTGGTGGGGGGAGTCCCAAAGAGCCTGAGTCTTCAGTATCTTCTAACCTCTCTCCCCAGGTGGCCTCGAACTCTTGCTGGCATCACAGCCTACCAGTCCTGCCTACAGTATCCCTTTACCTCGGTGCCCCTGAGTGGGGGTGTTCCAGGCACCCGAGCCTCCCGCCGATGTGACCGAGCTGGCCGCTGGGAACCAGGGGACTACTCTCATTGTCTGTACACCAATGACATCACCCGGGTGCTCTACACCTTTGTGCTGGTGAGGCTGGGAGAGGAGGGGGCAGGGAGAAGCCCTTCAGCTCTGGTTCTAGGGATGGGATGGTTTGAAGCCTCATGACCTGCAGGGGAGGGAAGTCCAGCTCCAAGGCTGCTCTGCTGTATCTCCTGTGTCCAGGGTGTGCTCAGTGAGGGGTGTGCACAGAGAGGGTTGTGGGTCAGCCCCCTTGTCCCTTGTGCTGTCTTTGAGTTTCTAACAAGACCACCCTCCACCCCTTCCCCCCTTTTTATCCGCTAACACATCGATGTTTGGCACTGGCATGGGGAGGCCTCTGGAGGTGATGATCATGGCCTTATATGTGGTTCCTATCTTACAAACCTTGCAGGTGCTCTAGGACCCTCTCCCAAGGCACTGTCCTGAGTACCAGCATCAAAGAAAGGGGCCTCTAGGGACAATTCTAGGGCAGAAAGAACAAGACAGGATGATCCTCTTTCTTTCCTTAACACCCCAGATGCCCATCAATGCCTCCAATGCGCTGACCCTGGCCCACCAGCTGCGAGTGTACACGGCTGAGGCTGCCAGCTTCTCGGACATGATGGATGTAGTCTATGTGGCTCAGATGATCCAGAAATTTTTGGGTTATGTCGACCAGATCAAAGAGGTGAGATTCAACTAGTCCACTGAGGCCCCTGGACATCACCCTATTATTGACTCAGGTCTCTATCACACCCCAGCCACTGGTCCCAAAACCTACTCCTGCACTCAGTGACCACCCTCCCCTCTGCAGCTGGTGGAGGTGATGGTGGACATGGCCAGTAACCTGATGCTGGTGGACGAACACCTGCTGTGGCTGGCCCAGCGCGAGGACAAGGCCTGCAGTGGCATCGTGGGTGCCCTGGAGCGCATCGGGGGCGCTGCCCTCAGCCCCCATGCCCAGCACATCTCTGTGGTAAATGGGTCAGCGTGGAAGGGATTCCCTTGGGGCTGAGCACTGAGAGGGTCATCAGAGTCAACTGAGGCTAACACTCATGATTCATAGAAGAGAAGCGCTTCCTTCTCTGAGATGTGCCTTCCAGGCTTCAGCTAAGAAGAACAGCCAAATTGGCTAAGCTCTGAGTTGTCAGGGGCAGTGCAAAGGGCCAGTGGTGGTGTAGAAATTGCACAAGACTTCCTGGTGGGGATCTGAGCTGGAGGGCTAGTCTGGTGGACATAAACAGGAGGAAGGAGGAAGGAGCAGAAGGAGCAGGAAGAAGGCTTGGTAGCAGGGCACACAGCACTTATGATGCAGTGACAGAAGTCACTGAGAAGAGGGTGACATTTCCATTTGGGTGGAATTAACAACCATGGTAGAGTTTCTTCTGCATATACACTAGGCATTTCAGGAGAGACAAAGGAAGTTAGACATGGACTCTGCTCTAGAGCTGAGTTAGGGCAACAGAAGTAGCAAATGTTGCCAGGTGACCACGGGAGTACCAGTGCTTTAGGAGGAGGGAGGAGGCTTGTGGTCAGGTTGGGGTGGGACATTCCATGGTACATGTAAGACTGGGCATGCTTTGAAAAGACAGTGAGGAATAAAGGGTAGTGGGCACAGCCTGAGCAGATTTGCAGAGGGAATGTGCAGTCACCAGCACTGTGTATGGGAGGGAGTGACAAGTTCCCTGTCCCTAGAACTCAAGGAACGTGGCATTGGAGGCCTACCTCATCAAGCCACACAGCTATGTGGGCCTGACCTGCACAGCCTTCCAGAGGAGGGAAGGAGGACTGTCAGGTGGACGGCTGGGAGGCCCTGGCCAGAACGCCCTGCCCGAACCTGAGCCCCCAGCTGATCAGCAGCTCCGCTTCCGCTGCACCACCGGGAGGCCCAACATTTCTCTGTCATCCTTCCACATCAAGGTGGGCACAAAGTGCCAAGGTGTGGGGACTGGAGGTACACAGATGGTGGAGGTGGGTGGTGTGAGCAGATGCAGGGGCTGGGAAAGTGGGAGGTGAAAGGGGGGAAGAGAGTAGAGGCCGGAGGATGTAGGAAGACCTCAGAGCTCAGAGGATGCTGAATATCTCTAAGGAGCTCCTATGTCCTCCCCAGAACAGCGTGGCCCTGGCCTCCATCCAGCTGCCCCCTAGCCTGTTCTCATCCCTTCCGGCTGCCCTGGCTCCTCCAGTACCCCCAGACTGCACCCTGCAACTCCTCGTCTTCCGAAACGGCCGCCTCTTCCGCAGCCATGGCAACACCTCCCGCCCAGGAGCTGCTGGGCCTGGCAAGAGGCGTGGTGTGGCCACCCCGGTCATCTTTGCAGGAACCAGTAAGGGACTGAACTCCCAGCATATGTCTGCCTGGTGCCCCTCATTCTGCCCTCCCCTCTACCTATAGTCCCTTACTGCCCGAGTTGAGTTAGCAGAGGATGGTGGGTTCCTCACCATTTCCCAAGAAGAGGGCAGAGATGTCCCATAAAAGAAGGGTTGGTGGAGAAAAGGCTCAGGGAACACTGGAATTTATATCCCAGGTTTGTCACATTTCATGAGGGCTGTAAACATAACCCCTCAACCTATTCCCTCCAACACACCAAAACACACGAGCTCTTGCACTGCAACACACAGCCCCAGGCAGGAAGCATGAGCACCTTCTGCAGCTCAGTATGAAGCTTGGCACAACAGGGAATAAAACATCTAGGCTGGGGCCCCTGTCCTCGTAGAGGCCACCATCTCACTGAGCAACAGGAGGCTGTGTAACATGCCAGGGTAACAACAGAGATTCCTGGAGGCTTCTGAAGAGACATCATTGGTGAGAACTGTCCTAAAAAGACAAGATGGCTCTGGCATTATAGTCAGAGGTGGGACTGGTACAATGGGCCTTGAGGAATGATCAGGATTTTAGTAAGGGAAGATGGAGAGCAGGGCAGGAGGAGTAACGTGAGCAGAGCTCTGATGGGTGGGACACACTGTGCCAAACTCTGTCTTGCTTAGGGGCTGGCCCATCCTCAACTAGCTGGTTCCACCAAGGCAGCTTCCTGCAGGCCAGCTGCCCCCCACCCCACTTGCCTTTTTTTTTTTTTTCCCTTTTCCCCCCCCCACCCCACCCCCGTAGTACTGGGGATTAAGTCCAGGGCATTCTAACACTGAGCTACAGCCCCAGCCCTTTTTATTTTGAGACAGGGTCTTACTAAGTTGCCAAGGCTGGTCTTGAACTCGGAATCCTATGGCCTCAGCCTCCCAAGTCACTGGGATCACAGGCATGCATCACCAAGGCCCGCCATGCCTTTTTTCTATCTGTGATTCATTCCACTGATCCTCCCAACCTCCAGGCTCTGGGCTTGTTTTCCAGTCTCTCTCCAACTTCAGTCCCGCCCACACACTGCCACCAGATTCATCTTCTTAAAACATCCTGTGCACATCAGATAGCCCCTTGAAATTCTTGGTGGTTTCCCATCATCAGAACTGCCTTCCTCCACGTGCCATTCAGGGGCCTACGTGACTTGGCTGCAGGACCTTCTCACAGCCGGAAGGTGTTGCTGTCACCTCTCTGGGGTTCCCTTCCCATTCTTAGAATAGGCTGTTTCCATTCTGGCCAGGAATGCTCACTGAGGACCTGACATGTGCCAGACTGTGCTGGGATTGGGACACACCTGAGTACAGACAGTTGTGTCTTTGTCTAGGAGAAACACACACTTCAGCAAAGAAGACAGGTATTGAAGAAGTCATTGGAAGTGAACGGCCATGTGAGGTGTCTGGAGCATTAGTTATGAGGAACAGCTGAACTTAGTTAGAGGCTAGGGAAGGCTTTTCTGAAAAGTGAGGTTTCCAACAAGATTCAAAGGATAAGAACCACCTTTGGGAAGGTCAGAGTCGTCGTCAGCAGCCTCATGGGCTCACTGAACTGTGTGCAGAGAGGTGGGTGGTTTAGGAGTCTATGGTTTTGTGTCTCAGGCAGATTCCTTCTTGACCCTCTGTTCAGGGCCCCTCTCTCTTGTTGGGAATACCTTCACACACACACACACCCTTTAGCTAACCACCCTCTTCTGCTTTTACAAGCATCTGTTCCATTAATGTCCCTCCTGCCTCCTTCCTACCCTCCTCCTTGTCCACTCCAACCCACCTTCCTTACATGGTACCAACTTTCCCTCCCTCTCAGGAGACAACAGACTCCTCCTTTTACATGATTTTTTTTTGGGGGGGTACTGGGGATTGAACTCAAGGGCACTTAACCACATCCCCCAACCTTTTTTCTTTTTTGTATTTTTTAAGGATTTTTTTTTTTTTAGTTGTAGATGAACACAATACTTTTATTTATTTATTTTTATGTGGTGCTGAGGATTGAACCCAGTGTCTCACATATGCTAGGCAAGTGCTCTACCACTGAACCACAACCCCAGGCCCCCTTTTTCATATTTTATTTAGACAGGATCTCGCTGAGTTGCTTAGGGCCTTGCTAAGTTGTTGAGGTTGGCTTTAAACTCATGATCTTGCCTGTCAGTCTCCCAAGCCTCTGGAGTTACAGGCATGTGCCACCGTGCCTGGCATCATCTGATCTTTATTCCCTCCACATTAACTTCTCTCTCCCTGCCCCTGAGCACCCCAGTCCAAGTTGGCTCTTCTTGGAGGACAACAACACCTCTCCTTGGGCACCTAGAGTAGACCTTCTCTAAGCACTTATATGTTTATTTCTTCTCCTCACTCACCCCTATCCAGTCTCCCAAGTTAGACTGAGGTCCATACTTGGCATCCAGCTCTGCCCTGAAGGCCAGCAGTGCCCCACCCAGCAGAGGTCTGATGCATCTCTGTTAGCTACTGCAGCTGCAGCTTCCTCCCCACTGATCCAGCCTCCGTGGCAGCCTTGTGTGTATCCATGTAGACTTCCCTTTCCCCTGTAGGTGGCTGTGGCGTGGGAAACCTGACTGAACCTGTGGCTGTTTCACTGCGGCACTGGGCTGAGGGGGCTGACCCCATGGCAGCTTGGTGGAGCCAGGAGGGGCCTGGGGGATGGAGCTCTGAGGGCTGTCGGCTCCGCTCCAGTCAGCCCAATGTCAGCTCCCTACACTGCCAGCACCTGGGCAACGTGGCCGTCCTCATGGTGGGTATCAATGGGGCCTGAAGGTGGGAAGGCAAGGGCAAGCAAGTACAGGAGGTAGTGATGGGGTCCTCTGATTGCCTGGGACCACGGTGAAATACAGAAAGGATAGCAGCCTTGTTGAGCCCCATAACTGTCAGGACTCATGGAAAATGGGTCTCTGGCCTCTCCCATATCCCTGTCTTTCAGGGCCAGGGAGGGTCACCTCTTTGCCCTTTTCTAGAGAGATGGATCTAAAACTACCCAGTCTGACTCTCACATCCTGTATTTTCTGAGACCTAGATTCTTAAAGTGGAAAAAAACAATCTGGGAACTTTTCTCCTCTTTCTGACCATCCCCTCCCTCATCACATTTCATACCATACTTTCTCAGATGCTAAGCTGGCTTGCTCCTGTGTCAGACAGAACCTTCTCCATTTCCTTATCTGATTCGACTTCCTAAGATATGGAGCCGGCATGCTGCTATGTCACAGACAGAACCTTCTTCCTCTTGAAAAGTTCCCAGAAAAGCAGGACACTGGGAGGGGGAAGGCAGGCAGTAGACTGTCAGTATTCCCTAAAGCTGACTTCCTGAGAGTGGATGTCCTGATGTTTCCATCTGGGCCTACCTGGGTGGACTCAGCACCAACCAACTCTCAGGTTCCATGCTAGCAGGGCTCAGGAAGAAGGAAAATGGCCTGGGTGGGGACTGAACAGGTTGGCTTGTTACTCTTACTTACTTCCTCTTTCCCAGGAGCTGAGTGCTTTCCCCAGGAAGGCAGGGGGCTCTGGGGCTGGGTTGCATCCTGTTGTGTACCCGTGCACAGCCCTGCTGCTGCTCTGCCTCTTCTCCACCATCATCACCTACATCCTCAACCACAGGTGGGAGCTGATGCAGGAAAGGAGGGTGAGGGGGGATGGGAGCAGGTGTCACCAAGGACTGGCAGGTGTTTCTTTCTCAGGTGGGTCCACATGACTTAGCCAGGTTCTTGTCTAGCATTGTATCTAAAGGTTGGAGAATTATTTGGGGAGTTAAGGACTTTCTGTCCTGTGGCCTTGGTCACATTCACACACACACGCACATACATAGATATCTGCCTTCCCCCCCCCCCCGTTAGCTCTTCCAGTGTCCTTGAGACTCCATAGGTCTACCTTGTGTTGGACAGCCCATTAATGAAAGACTCTTTTTGGGGCAGCTCTATTCATGTGTCCCGGAAGGGTTGGCACATGCTGCTGAACCTGTGTTTCCACATGGCCATGACCTCTGCTGTCTTTGCCGGGGGCATCACACTCACCAACTACCAGATGGTCTGCCAGGCGGTAAGTAGAAAGGGCTAGGGGCCCCAGGATGAGTGATAGCAACCTAGGCTTAGAGTAGGGAGATGTACAGCAATAAAGAGGCTCATGGGAATAGGCTCCAGCTCCGCTCTCTTTGCCAGCCTTGGAGGGTGGGTGCAGGTGGCATAGAGAATGAGAAGGCATGGTAAGAACCAGATCAGAGAAAATAAGAGATGGGGCTTCAAAGTGGAGAGTGGGGATCACAAGGGAGGTGGGTTAGGGACAAGCCAGACAGCAATGGCAGGGGGCTTGAGAATATGTAGGGCAGGAGAGAACCCTGGGTGGAAGCAGAGGGAATAGCAACAGATACAGAAGCTTAGTGAGTATCTAGGTCATGATCTGGGTAAAGAGAAAGAGCTGTGGGAGTGGGGGCTGGAAACACTGGGAGGGGTGGGAGCATACTGGCAGGGCGGAGGCTCTGAGGTTGCCCGGTCATAGCAGCCCAGGTCCCCCAGCCTCAGTGCCTTGACCCTGCAGGTGGGCATCACTCTGCACTACTCTTCATTGTCCACACTGCTCTGGATGGGGGTGAAGGCCCGAGTCCTGCACAAGGAGCTCACCTGGAGGGCACCCCCTCCACAAGAAGGGGACCCTGCCCCGCCTGCTCCCCGCCCCATGCTCCGGTACATACTTTCAACTGTCAGCTTTGCAACCAGAGAGGGACTCAGGCTGGTGTAGCAAAGCTCCCAGGGTGGATGCAGAGTAGATGCAAGATCCTTGGAGATCACTCTCCAAAGAGGCAATGCACTTGGTGCAGACAGGTTACACGGGCTGTGGAGTGGGTGCATCTTGCAAGCTTTTCAGATGTGACAAGGTCAGGGAAGGAGGTAACTCCAAAAGACATTGGACAGGGATCATGAAAACCTGAGTGGCAGCTGGGACTTTTCTACACTGTTTAGGGTCAGAGAGAGCAAGATTGTTCTTGGTCAAGTCCTGTAGGAACCTATTAAGCCAGCATCTCTGGTAAAAACAATTCTGACAAGATTCAAGGGGAAAGAGGCTGGGACAAAGATATCAGGTCAAGGGTTTGGAGTTCCTGGATCTCCTTTTCCTTCCCTCAACTTGCTGATCTCCAAACCCCATTCCCCTCCAGGTTCTACTTGATTGCTGGAGGCATTCCACTGATCATCTGTGGCATCACCGCTGCAGTCAACATCCACAACTACCGGGACCACGGTCCCTAGTGAGCACCACTTCCTTCTGCCCCAAACCTACCCATGGTCGCTGGATGCCTTCTATACCATAGGGAGGCATAACTGGTCAGGCCTACCTTGCCAGGGACCCCACCTAAACTCATGCATGTTGATTAAGCCAAGAGCTGCCTCTGCGCTTCCCATATCCTATCTCCCCAACCACCTCGGCTTGTGAGTCCCACGTCAGATGTGCTGCTCCTCCTCCTCATCCACTGCCTCTGTGTCTCCCCTCAGCTGCTGGCTGGTGTGGCGTCCTAGCCTCGGAGCCTTCTACATCCCGGTAGCTTTGATTCTGCTGATCACCTGGATCTACTTCCTGTGTGCAGGGCTGCATTTGCGGGGTCCTCTGGCACAGAGCACAAAGGCAGGCAACAGCAGGATCTCCTTGGAGCCTGGAGAGGAGATGAGGGGTTCCACCAGACTCAGGAGCAGCGGCGCCCTTCTGAGTGACTCAGGCTCCCTTCTGGCTACCGGGAGCGCTGGAGTGGCGACTCCCGGGCCCCTTGAGGACGGTGACGGCCTCTATTCTCCGGGAGTCCAGCTGGGGGCGCTGATGACCACACATTTCCTGTACCTGGCTATGTGGGCCTGCGGGGCTCTGGCAGTGTCCCAGCGCTGGCTGCCCCGGGTAGTGTGCAGTTGTCTGTATGGGGTGGCGGCCTCTGCCCTGGGCCTCTTCGTCTTCACGCATCATTGTGCCAGGCGCAGGGACGTTAGGGCCTCCTGGCGTGCCTGCTGTCCTCCTGCCTCGCCTTCGGCCTCCCACACCCCACCCCGAGCCCTGCCCGCCCCCCTAGAGGACGGTTCCCCAGTGCTGGGGGAGAGGCCCGCCTCCCTCAAATCCTCTCCCAGCGGCAGCAGCGGCCACATGCCACCACTGGGCCCCTGCAAGCTCACCAACCTACAGCTGGCCCAGAGTCAGGTGTGCGAGGCAGGGGTTGCAGCACGTGGGGAAGGGGAGCCAGAGCCCACGGGCTCCCGGGGGAGCCTTGTTCCCCGCCACCCCAACAACTTGCACCATGGGCGCCGAGTGCACAAGAGTCGGGCCAAGGGGCACCGCGCGGGGGAAGCTGGGGGCAAGAACCGGCTCAAGGCCCTGCGTGCAGGAGCGGCCCCCGGGGCGCCAGAGCTGCTATCCAGCGAGAGCGGCAGCCTGCACAACAGCCCTTCCGACAGCTACCCAGGCAGCAGCCGCAACAGCCCAGGCGCCGGTCTCCCGCTGGAGGGCGAGCCCATGCTCACCCCGTCCGAGGGCAGCGACACCAGCGTCGCACCACTCCCCGAGACCGGGCGGCCCGGTCAGCGCCGCAGCGCCAGCCGCGACAATCTCAAAGGTGGCGGCGCGCTGGAGAAAGAAAGCAAGCGCCGCTCGTACCCGCTCAACACAGCCAACCTGAACGGTGCCCCCAAGGGGGGCAAGTACGACGACGTCAACATGACAGGCGCAGAGGTGGCTGGGGGCGGTTGCATGAAGACAGGCCTCTGGAAGAGCGAAACCACCGTCTAGGGCAGGGGCGGGGGACGCTTTAGTATAGGCCGGTCACAAGGGCTCATACCGGGGCCCTGAAAGACGTCTACCAATACGTCAATAGGTTTGAGGTGGCCATCCCGATGGCTGCATGTGAGCCCACCAGCTTTAGTCCCGTGGAGGCTGGGAGGAGATTGGCAGATGTTTGCCACATGCCTGGAGGGCCACCACTGCAGTAGCGACAGACAATCCTAGAAACAAGCATGATACATGTCCGTCCAGCTCAGGCCAGTTTTGATGGTCAAGTTCTTGGTGGCTTCCCAGAAAAGGGAGAAAGCCTCATCAGTCTATGGAGTAACGCAAATAGAGTGAAGGGCACCGCACAGCCCAGGTGGGCTTTTAAGTTCTCCCCACAGTCCCATCCACACTGCCTTACTAGAGAGACACAGATGAAGGGAGGTAGCCTGGGAACCACATTATTCCTCATCGCCCTCTTCTGGCAAGGTGGGTGGATCACTGCCTAGATCCTGGGCCTCTTTCCTCCCCAGGTTTTGGCTGAGAGAGCCATCCTAGCACATGAGCCAGGTGTCAGGTAACAGGTGCTGCTTTTTGGGATTAACTATGCAATAAAGAGGGGGCAGTGTAAAAGGCAGCTTTGCAAATCAGCTAGTCCTAGGGGAGAGGGGGTGCACAATTAGGGACAGACACCATCCCCATGGAGTGGTACACAAACCCTACAGCAGGGCTCAGCAACAGTGCCTCAGGACAAAGCCTAGGCCATACACCTGAGAAGCTGACACTGCCACATGCCCCATGGGCTTAAGAAAGTGGAGGGAGCTGGTACATGGATATGGGTGGAATCTACAAATGCTCTGAAGTGCAGCTCCACCCTAACATTGCAGGTGGTGTCTGGAAAAGCACTTATTGTTCTATTAAGAACTATTTCCCAGTCTGGGCCTTCCAACATCAAGGAAGAACATCTCCTTGCCTCCATGAGCCACATGGAAGAGTCACCCCATAATCTGTTTCTCAATTCCACAGTAGGGAGAAACCCCCAAATGTCAAACCAGCTCCTGGACTCAGAAGCCCAAGCCCAACCTAGAGGTGATGGCTAGGGTTCCTGCAGCTCATCAAAGGCCAGTGCCTTCACTACTTTTAAAATTTCAGCACCCATATTCTCCCCAACCTAAATGGCAACCACCAGTCTTTTACTACAGGACCAAATGAAGTAAAAGGAACCTTGGGGCTTGTGAATAGCAACAGGGAACCCAGATCTGGTCCAAGTCCCCTCCTTGTCTTCATATCACCCTGGCCTGACCACCAAGTGGAAGAAGACACAGGGGAAGGGAGAAACCCATGCTTCTTGAGATGGGTCCTGTTATTTATGCTTGCTGCACAAACAATATTAGGGGAAAAAAAAAAAAAAAAAAAAAGCTTTGTATTATTCTTCCACATACGCTGGCTGCTGTTTACATACCCTGCCAATGCCTTAGCACTGGAGAGCTTTTTGCAATACTCTGGGGAAAGGGGAGGGAGGGAATGAAAAGTGCCAAAGAAAACATGTTTTTAAAAGCTCGGGTTTTATACAATAGAATGTTTTCTAGCAGATGCCTCTTGTTTTAATATATTAAAAATTTGCAAGACCCTTTGAGCTATAGCCATAGACAACACACAGTCCTTTTGTTAATGAGGTAAAGGATTTCATGACACCATACACAAACCCACCAGTACCTAGAATGGATATGGGGCAAAGAATTCTCCAGTTATTGCTCTTGAGGCTGGATAGTACTGACAATACCAGCCACCCCACAGAAGTGCCACTAAGACAGCCATACTAGGCCTGCAAAACTGTCAATGTGTTTAATGCAAACGAGGGCAAAAGAGGCTGGCATTTCCACATCAGGCAGGAAGCCAGTTTACATCCCACAGAATGTGAACATATGCAACTTGATCTGCACCAAGGGAGACTCTTTCCCACTTACAGTCACTCCTCCCAGCTTCTACTCCAGGACTTCAAGTCCAACTAACTGTAGTACCACTCTGATCCCTTTACACAAGACAATATCCAAGGGCTTGTATATGCCTATTTCCTTGAATTTGACAGGCCTATTATCCAGCTGCTGTCAGGAAGTAAGGTACCTCCAGTGGGCTGTGCATCAAGGAGGATTAGGGACACTTGTGGAAGCTCGGCTAGCAGCTTGGGCTCTCTCAAAGTCCCTAACTTCCTGAGGGGTACGCAAATACTGCTCTATTTCACTATCAGAGATGTTCTCATCTCCAGTAACTGTGGATACAGGGAGTACAGGACAGATCCGCTTTGGAGGCTTTAACATGCAGGGTGGGAGAAGAAGGGCAGGACTAGCTGGCCTCTTCCCCTTGCACAGATCTAAGGAACTATCCCCCACCTCCTCTTCTCCATGTTTTTGCTCCTGCCCTTGCCCCTGCTGCTCCTTCTCCTCCTCCGTTTCTGCTGTTCCATTCCGAAAGGCCATGCGGATCAGCATGTGGCGGTGCTGGAGAAGGTCACCAATGTACTTCACTACAGACCGCTTGTCAAGTTTCAGAACCTGCAACCATGCCAGTTGGTCAGCCATCCGCAGCAACACAGCCAGCAGCTCCTGCAAGCGGGATGCAGCAGGGTATGGGAGGTCCACGTTTGCCAATTTACAAAATCGGGCAAGGGAACATGTCAGACGATCTGAAGGCTGCAGAGACTGCCACGCCAGGAAAGTAGCTGCAGTGATGACAGGCAAGGGATGCCGCCCAGTCACCAGCCACGTCTCATTTGCCAGTTCTACCAGTTGCAAGGTTCGAGACAGCATCTTGTCTTTGTCTTCCACGTATTTGGCTGGCACTGATGCGGAGACTTGGAAGAGTTTGAAGCTGAAATAAGCAAAATAAGGGTCAGTTCTCAATGATGATGGCTGGTGGGGTAGTCTGCTCTGTCAGGATGAGGAAGGGCAGGCCACTCAAGGAGGGAAAGCTATTCTGACCTCTTGGGAACACTCAAGTTTACTGATAGCAAATTCATAGAGGTAGTCGAAGAAAGCATCAAGGTACTATCATTTGAGCACCTCCCTGTCAGTCACTATTCTAAGTGCTCTACAATGTTCTCTCATTTCATCTTCATAAAAATGTACCCAGTTATATGCATTTAGAGTTGAAACTCAGCCCCTAGTCATCTAGCTAGGAAGTAATCAAGCTTCAACCATTATTTTATACACACACATATATTTAGGTGCTGGGGATCAAACCTAGGGTCTTTCATATGCTAGGCAAGCATTATACCACAGGGCTACACCCCTAACCATTACTTTTTTGTTGTTGTGGTGGTGGTGCTGCTGCTGCTGGGAATCTACTATACTTGTTAGAAAAAAATAATCTGGGCGTGATGGCGCACACCTGTAATCTCAGTGGCTTGGGAGGCTGAGGCAGGAGGATCTAGAGTTCAAAGCCAGCCTCAGCAATAGCAAGGCCCTAAGCAACTTAGTGAGACCTTGTCTCTAAATAAAATACAAAATAGCGCTGGGGATGTGGTTCAGTGGTCAAGTGCCCCTGAGTTCAATCCTTGATACAAAGAAAAACAAAAACAAACTAAAAGAACTCAGCTACTTAAAAAAAAAAAAAAGACTTAGCTTCTAACCCCAGTCCTTCCATTGAGGCAGGGCACTGCACACAGCCACACATGCCCCACACCATGCAATTCCCAGAACTGCCATTCATAAAGCATGTAACAGGAGTAGTGCAACACAGCAGCCTTGTGCCAAGGTTAAGAACTACTTTTCCTTGGGGCTGGGGATGTGGCTCAAGCGGTGGCGCGCTTGCCTGGTGTGCGTGCAGCCCGGGTTCGATCCTCAGCACCACATACAAACAAAGATGTTGTGTCCGCCGAAAACTAAAAAATAAATATTAAAATTCTAAAAAAAAAAAAGAACTACTTTTCCTACATCATTAAGGTTGCTGTGAAAGCAATGAAATTTGAAACTTACAAAATTCTAGAAACATATAACAGTATTAATCTTATTAGTAGTGGGCACAAGATAGTTTTCTTCCACATCCTTTTAACTGGGCTCTGATAACAAACAAAAACCCTTCAGTTAAAAAGAATTTAGGTATAAGGATATAACCCATCTCAGTGTCTCTTCCTAGGCAGGTACCTGCTACAATAAGTCTTCACCAAATCTGCCAGGCACAAGGATGGGACGTCCAGCCCCAGGAGCTTCACTATCTGCATGTATGTGCCAGAAAACACATCCAGATCTGCATATAATAGGGCACAGATGGTTCCCATGGTTAGGGGCCAATTATGCTGCCGGCAGGTGATTAAAACACAGCATCCAACCAACACCTCCTTCTTCTGCAGCCTAGCAGCTCGGATGCCAGAGTGCCGATATGCCTGTTGGTAGTAAGCAATTGCTGTATCCTCAAACGTTGGTGGCAACTGCAGAACTCGACAAAGGTCTCTCACCCGGCGGAGACCTAGGAAAACCCACAGCAAGAGTTAGAAAGGTCAAAGGAACTAGTGTGTATCTCCTAGCAAGTTCTGCTAGGGTTTCATTCAGTTCTGCTAAACCTGTCACAGATACCAAATGCAAAAATGATATACCTTTCTGCATGGACAGAACACTCTCCTATCCCCACCCCACCCCACCTCGAGTACAGGCAATCAAACCTAGGGCCTTACACATTCTAGATAAGAGCTCTACCACTGAGCTACAATTCAGCTCCGGTGTGGTCATTCTAAAGGTACAGAAACATTTGCAAAAAGAAGTCACAAATAAGTCACCACTTTTTTGGAGGCTTGTTTGATTCATGGCCAAGCCAAAGTTTTTTTTTAAAGTTCTTTCTTTATTTGGTGCTAAGAATTGATCCCAGGGCCTCACGCATGCTAAGCATGCATTCTACCACAAAACTACACTCTCAACCCTAAAGCCAAAGTATTACCTAGACTCCCTGAGGCTACCTCAGATATACTCTATACAAACATATCCAAATTTATTATACTGAATTGCTCTTGCTCTCACAACCACTCCCAACCTTTATTATTCTTTTTTTCTCTCTCTCTTGTTCTCAGAACTACCCCCACCTTTCTTTTTAAGTCCCCCACTTAAAAAAAAAAAAAAAAAGGTTGGGGGATAAAAAAGCACTCTTGACACTGAGCTA